TATGTTTATTCTAGTTTTGCAAAGAAAGCATCTCCTTTAATAGCAGTAACAGAAATATTAACTTCTACCACTAGCTTCTGAGAAATGTGAATCTTAGCACCTAAAAATCCAAGCACTAGGAACACTTACCAAGAAAGGGTGACAGAGCACATGATCTCATCCACATCCGATGTTACACAGAGCAGCAGAGACATTTGAAAAATGATGACCGTCCTACTCTGTGTTCATTTTGGCCACCACACAGTTCAATATTCTTTATGACTGACTTATCAAGTATATATGCATTGCAGACTCATAATAACCAACACTATGCTATAATGGCTGGGTAAATGACCCACCAGGGCTAGTATTCACCAATCTGACAACTATTAATGAATATGGTGCTTTGTGGAAGTGTTTTTAAAAGGGGAAGCCCAGTCCCTACTTTATGATGTTAGGTAACAGTATAACATAACAAGTGCTAACTACTGCTATTGCTGTTATTACTACTGATACTACATGAGAGGAGAGGAGAGGAGGGCAGGGAGGAGCTATTACCATCCTGAACTTTGAATGAATCAACTCCTACCCTTTAACGTAACATTTGATTCCTTCTAAATTTAGCAGACAGGAGTTCTCAACACAAAAGAGGAAGTACAAATCCCATTATATGCTTCACCCCTAAAAGTAAAGTTGTTATTTTTTAATTTGTTTGTATTGCTTGCTTTTCTAACTGGAAGATATTAAATTGGGGAGGAAGGATTATTTTGTTATGCTTGCCATTACAAAGTGGGGACAAAATACTTGATCCTCAGATTACCATAAATCAGCATAGAGTAGTTGACTTACACCACCCTTGTTAGTTTAATATCAAATAAGTCTGGTACAAAATGTTCAAACTTAAGCATCCATTTAAGTCTGTATTTCAGTGTTGAAATAAGGCTGATTTTGGAGATGTTGAGCACTTAATTGTTCGGTGAAGGGCAGAGAAATTATTTTGGACACCTAAATTTGAGCTTCTGGGTTTGAACAATATGGCATAGAGTTTTGACAGCAGACATGTAAAACTCTAGTCACTAGGTTTCAGACTTTTCAAATAGACTGACTCATTTCCTTTTTTAAATCTTTTGAAACAAAACTCTCTCCTGGTGGTTTTCTGTAGATGTTGCCTTTTAAACTGGTCTCTCAAATCAAAATTGATTAAGTCCTGGGCTTCTGCAATTTAAAAAGAAGTTACACAAGTATTGAAGTATTTAAATTTTTTATAAGCAGCTGAATTTAGCAGTGATCATAGTTTTGGTCATGTGTAATATACACAAGTAATTTAAAGGGAGAGCTTTGAATTTTTTATTAGAAGTTTGGTTTGGAAGTGGTCATTTTTTCTGGGCATGCATAGTGTCAGCTATTAAAAATAATTGGGTACTTCATATTTTTTAAAAGAGCTTTAATCTTCCATCTTTCATAAACAAGAAAATGAGAAGATGAACCAGTGCTATTATGCTGGCACTTGTTATTCTAATGGAGGTTATATAAAAGCAAGCGACTATTTTTATTGCTCTAAATATGCTTTGTGCATTATGTGATGTGCCTGAAAACAAATTGATATAATTTCCCATAATATTTTACCACTGGGGTGTGTGTCTGTGTTTTTACTTGGTTTATATTTTTTTTTTAGCCTTTTTAGTGCAAAGGGTTTGATCCTCATGTTTTCTGCATAGCTTCCTTCTTCAAGACTATGGGGAGGCAAGCTTAGCTATTGTACACATGCAAGTTTAGCCTCATTTTCAAATCTGATAAGCAAGTGATGATCATGCCCTGTATTTCTAAACTTTACAATTTAAGTCTGGCAGTATACGTTTCAGAAACATAAAATGGCCATATACATGCAAGTGCCTACGGTTCTGAGTCTATAAAGGAACCTGCAAACGTGGACCTGAACAGAATCACATAGGCATCAACTCTGTGAATTAAAGCATGTCCTTGCAAATCCTTTTCCAGGACCATGGTCTAACTGAGAATCCAAATATAGCATTAGGATCTGTAGAAAGAAAAACATACCCCACACACACACGCGCGCGCGCGCACACGCACACATATATTTGGTGTTAATTTTGCTGTTTCTTTTTCCCTTGAATTTTAAAATGATTCTTACCTGAAATGAGATTTATTTAAAAAACACCACTGCAGATATTCTCAGTACAACATATGGGCTACCTAGTTTCTACAGAATGATTCTTTATACAACATTCTACGGCTTGATGCCATCAATACCAGGAGACATACAAAAATGCACTTCAGTTTCTATGATACTGGCTAGGGACAGAAATTGCACATAAACCGGTTTAAGTGATCAGGAACTGGTTTAAACCTGTAACAGAGCAGAAGTTCAATGCACATACACCAGTTTCAAAATGGCTGAAACTGGTTTAACATAAACCTGGTTAAATGTAGTATCAGACTTAACTGATTTGGGTCAGACAGGTTTATGAAACTTCTGTAATAGACCCCTTCCTGGTTCAAGTTAAATCACAGTCCCCAACATCCCAGCATGCTTTCCAGCCCTGGGCTGGGCTGTGCTCTCTGCTCCAGCAGAGAAGGGTTGGCAGAGAGGCAGGGACTGCCCCCCTCCCCCCCCAACAAACCCCAGCTAGGTCTGGGGCCAGGGATGGGGAGTTAAAACTTTCCTTCCCCCAAGTACAGGGCTGCCTTAGCCTGCTAACATTTTACCACTGGCTCTGATTGTGGACTGCAAATCCCACAGGCACCTGGAAGCAGTAAAAAGTGATGAGCAACCCTGCAAAGTCCTGCTGTTGTGATTCTGGACTGCAAATCCCAGAAACCTCGGGGGCAGCAGGAAGAGGAAGCAAACCACAGTCCATGCTGGCTACATGCCACGGAGCCATGATCTAGTGCTCCCTGGCTTCTGGCCTGAGCCACTGCAGGTATGTGGCTGCATTTCCTGAATCAAAAGTGAATGTCTGTCCAGTTATTTCTAAGTTTAATCTCTGCATTTTAGACTCACCTGCAAAGACTGAATCTTTTCAGCCTCAGGCATTTCGATTGTCTGTACTTAGCCACTGAGATGAAAATACCAATTGCATATTCACTAGGGGAAGACTCAAGAGCAACTTGTGGATTGGGAAGGGCATTACCATTCAAGGAAACGCTCATGAGAAAGTTAATTAAAAAAAAAAAACACACTGAAATCATACATGACTCAGTGTGAAGCATGTCCTTTTGATGAGATGCAAGTGAATAAGAGGTTCCACTTGTAAAATAATATGGCACATTAATCAAATTCTCACAGAAGTACTACACAAGAACATTCCCTACAACATCTACAGTATAAAGTTTTGCCTGGTTCTAATGATACATGACAGTAACATCAGCACTAAAACTGGGACCTGTTTTAAATATTGACCAGCTTATGCTTAGCAAATTGCAGGTAACAAGCTGTAATATTGGAAAATACCAGTCCCTAAGTGCAATGCCTCTATTCATTTAATTTATAAATGGAACCGAGTGAACAGCCAACAGTAAATTACAGAAATCTCTCAGCAACCCAATATAACTGTTATGATTGTTTTTAAACGTTAAAATTCAAGGCTGGTTATTTTAACATTGAGTGAGGTGGGTAGGACTATTTCAGTGAATGCCTGAGCACAAAACAGCCATCTCCCTGTATGCAGTTTGTAGCATGATTCATTTGCTGTTTGGATGGACATTATCCCTATATATCCAGTTTTGCTCCCAACACTTTGAACCATAAGAAGTTACAAGTGGCGTGTTAGCTGCTGGCACTGTCATTCTGTGCCCATATTCTCTAGGTAGTCTGCTCCCTGCTGAGGTAGTATGGGATAGCTATTCAGACTTTCCTCACAGAAAGGCTGCCATGTGAACACAGGATCATAGGGATGGGCTAGAGTCACCTTATGAAGTCATGTACTTCTGACCCCTGCTCAATGAAGCATTCTTGATTAAACCATCCCAGTCAAGTGTCTATCTTACCTACTCTTGAAAATTTTCAGGCATGGAGATTCCTAAACTTCTCCAGGTAGTCTGTTCCAGCATTTGACCAACATACCTCAATCAATTTCCTTGTAACCATGTCAGGTAAGTTATTAAAAATATACTATAAAAACACAGTTCTACTTGAGATATCTTCCATACAATGCCACTGGAAGCCAGTGGGACTTCTTCCATAGATTTCTGTCAGATCTGGAGAAGGCTTTAAATAGTGTAATCTCATAGTTCAGTGAATGCAAAATTCCTGTCTGTGGGGTGCTACTATATTTTATTACTTGGATAATTCCTGTTCAATTAAGCTCTGAATACAGTTACAGCTAACTCTGGTTATGAGTATTAGCATTTATTATTTGCCTGGCATCATCAGCTCTGATCATTTGGAATTAATTCAGATTAAATAACATTTTATGTAAATGTAAAAGAGAAGATCTAGTTAAACATAACAAGAATGAGATGTGAAAACTTCATATTTCTTGCACCAGAATTAGGAAGGCTTAATGGATAAAGTGGGGGAAAAAGTGTTAAGACTAATGATGAACCCTAACATATGAAAAATGAGGTCACAGTAAGAGGTACAATGGCTTTTTTGGCTGTTATGCATTTGGCATACCAGTCATTTCAAGCATCTGAAAAATGAAATGAGGGTATCCTTGTTGCTGTGCAAGTGTAATTTTCCTGCATCTGTACAAATTACATCAGTTTGATAATTGGCCATATGAAGTGATCCATGGTAAAAGAGGCTGATCTCCAATAATGGCAACATCTTGAACAGTGATAAGCAAGAAATCAGCAACTGAAGCATAAAGAAAATGCTGCCAATCCTGCATGCCAAAGGCAATCAGAGCCATTAAAATACTAATTTTAGTGTAATCCTCTCCTCCCTCACCATGGATCTCTACCACTTCCAAGTAATTGCACTTAACATGTTTCTTTTGTAATTTACAATTACATACATAATATTTAAGTTGTACATAACTACCATTTCTCTAACTTACCAGAATGATGGTGATTCTGCTCTTCTAGGAATTCCAAGTCAAGCATGAGGTCATCTTCATCCAACTCACAGGAACCCAGGTTATTCAAAACATCCTGGTATGTAAAAGCAAAGCAAGCATTTAGGCAGGTTAGCAACCAAGTAAGCGCATAGAGTATGGGGAGAAATCAGACCTTACCTACATGAAAGCATGCTGAATTAATAGTCACTGTGGGTACATACATGCATACTATGTCAACTTAAAATAAGGTGACTTAACAAAGTTAAGCCACATTGGAGCATACACACGTACAGCTCCTTGACCTGGTAGCAGCCATCTTGGCTAGGGACAGACATTCAAAAAGCCTGAGCCTGAATTGATTCAATCTTTGCAGGTTAGTCTAATCTGGCTAGGTTGAACTGGTTGGTAACATTAACCAGACAGACATTCTCTCTAGACTGAGGAAATTCAGGCACATGCCTGCAGTAGCTCAGGCTAGATGCTGGAGGGCACTAGTGCAACCCTTCCTCCCCTTCTACAGGGCTGAGCTGAGGAGGGCATGGCCAGGCCCCAGCTGGATGCTATTATTTCCCCGCCAATCCACCCCCCGGCAGCCCAGCAGGGGATGTTTATCATCACCCCTAACTCAATGTTTAATAACCCATTAAGAAAGCAAAGCCTCTCTCCATGAACTAATGGAGCTTTTCTTAAACAGCTCTTCTTAAACAACTTTTCCAAGGAAGGACATTAAGCTACCTGTTGATTAGCTCCAAAAAGCCTGTCTGCCTTTGCTGTCTCCCACAGTGCGGATGGTATCCAGTATGTGATCTGCTAGCTAATGCTGAGGTGTCTGTGTAAGGCATAGGGGAGGTGGGAATAATCCCTGCTTAGCAGGGAGAAGGAAGCCAGGCAGATGCTCTGTGCCTGCAAGTCTCTGCCAGAGCTGCATGCAGAGAGCAGAGGGAAGGGGCCAGCCCTGCTATGGAACAGAGAGCCCAGCCCAGAGAGCATGCTGGGATGCTGGGGGAGTCTGGTTTATCTTGAACCAGCAAGGGGTCCGGGACAGACATTGCATAAACTGGTTTGACCCAAATCAGTTATGTCTGATACTAAATTCAACCGGCTTTATCACAAACCGGTTTTAGCCATTTTCAAACTGGTTTATATGCACTGCATATCTGTTCTGTTACAGGTTAAAACCAGTTTCTGATCACTTAAACCAGTTTGTGTGTAATGTCTGTCCCTAGTCCTTGTCAACTAAGTCAACGTAACTAATGCGATTGAAGCTAATACACCTTGGAGGTGTATTATCTGGTCCTTCATTTAAGTTGACTTTGCTCCACATACGTGTGTACACTCTGACAGTTAAAGTGACTTTAAAAAGTTAAACCAGCTTAACTGTCAAAAAGTTAGTGTGCGTGTACACATTCTGTGATACTGAAAACACCTTTAAAATGCCATCGCTTTTAAGTTATAGCAATGATGAAACTTGGAGATATAATACCAAAAAGTGAAGAGCATCTTATAGTAACCTTTTCTTCCCTCTGATTAGGCAACTCATATTAGACATGGGGAGCATCTGCATGAGATGCTTACTGTGGAATTGCCTAATTAGTTCCGCAGTAAAGCATAATCATCTACACATGTGGAGCTGTTAGGATGCAGTAAACTAATTAACTCCACCATAGGTTAGTTCTGCCTGACAAGTACTATCCTACAGCAGAGGTAGCCAACTTCCTGTCGGCTAGCCCCACACTGTAGCACCCTTTTGCTCCAGCAAGCCCCTGCATAACTCATTGAACTTGTGTGAAGCAACTCCAGTCTGGCAGGCTGACCCCTCAATGTGCTGTATGTGTAAAACACTTTGCCCAGGAGCAATAAACTCCAGAACAAACGGCACCAGAGTTTATTGCATTCCACTAATTTTATGTGTAGATGCACCCATGGATCACCACATTTTAACACTATTCCACATGCTAAGTAGCATCCTACCCAAATATTACTTTTGACATCACAAAGACTATTTGAAGAGAAAAATTATACTCATCATTGACAAGCATATTAGAATCTGGAAAAAAAATTGTAATAAAACAGATACTAGTTTAATTTAAATTCAGAGGGCTGAATACAGAGGCCTAAATTAATTTAAATTCCATCAGCTGTACTCATGTTGAGTAGTACCTTACTCCAGAAGCTATTTAAATTAAATCAGTGCAAGAAGGGATATCAAAACCTGGTTCTGATTTAGCAAAGCAGAAGATAGCTCTTTGGCTACACTGGACCTCAGTAAACTACATGAATAAACAGCACATGTAAACAATGTATTTGCCACTGTCTTTTGGCACTGGTAATAATGGATCATGAGTATTTAACTGTTAGTCAAAAATATGACTTATGCTGTCATTAAAACTCTAGTTTTGTTATTGTAATGTCTTCCCATAGGAATACTTGTATCCCAGAAAGATTAAAAATGAAACATAAGCAAGCAGTGGCACTGTTCATTTTTAATACAAAATTTCCAGTTACTCCCTTCATTTTTAATCCAGAGCATTTGTATGTGGTCTGATATTTCATATCAGAAAGCAGAGATGTACTGTCCTATTTAACCAAGTTACTGGAAAGTTAGGATAAAAGAGGAGCTCAGACAGAAACAATTCATGAACTTATAAATTTGTTCACTGGTAGGCAATGACTTTTGTTACTAATTGACAAAGGCTGTGTGATTTGGTTATTTCATTCCTATGCGTCACTTTTTTTCTTTCAAGACTTATTTTTATTTTGGTTGTATTTTCCAGCTCCAACTGGATACTTGAGGTTTGAGAGACCGCACACTTTGAGGAGGCAGTAAGGCAAAATAAATAAATAAATAAAACAAGGGATAAAAGGCAATCTTTTAACAATACATTTTTGCTCCCATCTTGCAACCAGTTAAGCTATAGAACTAGTTTCACAGGACATGTCTACATGAGATGCTACTGTGCATTTATTTAGTACTTGTATAATCAAGTACTAAATAAATGTGCAGTAACCAGAGTTACTGTGCAGTAGCACTGGCAAAAGTCTTTTTAGTGGCACCACTGCACAGTAGCCTAATAATACTGTGCAGTAGCACTGACGGTACTGATGCACTATGATGCAGTATTATTTGGCTATCGTTCAGTTAGCATCTCATGCAGACATGCCCACAACAGATAAAATGACTCTGAATTAAGCCACACCTACACAGTAGGGTTGATTTGGGAATAGGTTAGACAAGGATTTGTACAGGATAGTTTGGATCAGGATGATCCTGCCTTGAAGGGATTGGATGAGATGACCTCCAAACGTCCCTCCCAGCCCAGCCCTAATTTTCTATGATTCTATGATCTTATATGTAACAGAACTAATATTTTGGCTGAGGTGGTAGGACAGGAAAAGGGCAGGTCTCTGCAGTAGACTCAGCAGTGATGGACTGCATAAAAAGTCTCTGAAATAGCACTCAACAGTGCAGTCTGGAAAAAGGCAAACTGAACATAATGGAAGGGAAGGCAATTCACAGCCACTGAACTGGGGAAAGGGGACAGTTTGACCATATTTCCTAATCCCCATTCCTATACTCTACAGCAACCAACTGTGGGATGGCAGGAGTATTAGTATAAAACTACTGATTAAATTAGCCACTGCCAGACTAGAATCACCTGCCAATATCAGCAGAAGTCTGCTCATAAACATGGTGATTCTTCTTGTATTTTGCCTTTCAGCATTTAACCTTACCAGTGATACTTTGTAATGAAAAGTTCATGAGGTAGGGAATCCTATTTTATTAAAAGGTGATGTAGCATTAGCCTCAACTACAAGCATTGCTGGACTGATTATGACTAAGATAATACCATGACACTGCTACTTGTTCTATAGTTGACAATACATTAATCTAAAGTAGGATAACCATAATATTTTCTCCAGATGGTGTCCTATTTGTGAAATCTAAAAGTTACACCATAATAGCTCTAATCCTGCAATCCTTCTTCAGTTCACACTGAAGCAACACTCCACAGCAGCTTTGAAGCACTGTGGGATTTTGCCCAATGCTTTTGAGCTATGGGCCAGATCCAAAACCTACCAAAGTCAATAGACAGATTCTCAGTGACTGGAAAGCTTTAGCTGATGCCCCATCTTTTTTTTTTTTAAACAAATATCATATTCCAGTGCACCAGCTCATTTAGAGGGTTAAATTCACACAGTGATGATTAATATGCTGCATAATACAGCAAAATAAATACACATACATGTAGACCAGATTGACAAAGGTGCTTGCTGATTTTCAATTCGTCATCATTTTACTGTTGATATATCTTCTAATCATTTCACAGTACTCGTTCTTTTTTTCTCTGAATACATTATACTTCTCAGTCCCAGCTCAAGACTTACTGCTTACACAGAGGTCAATCTGAGTAGCTAATATTTACAATTCTATTCAGTAATATCTTGTAAGAACCTCACCTGTGAAGTACAAGAACTTCTGCCTTCTTCCCCATCCACTATTCCTCCTCCTCAGTTACCATAAATATCAGCCTGCTTGAGTTACTGAGATACAAGTCCATTCTTAATGCTGCAGCTATATTTACAGATCCCAAGAGCAGAAAGTGACAACTGCAGAGTGCAGAAACCACCACATAATCAAGAATAGGTATTGTATGGAAGAAAAAATAAACAACACATAACAATTACAATTACATGTAAAAGACAACATCCTGTTCCCTTTCTTTGAATGCTAAATGTTTAACTTGTACAATGGCTGGTAAGCATCCCTTGTGATTACTATTTTGTTTCCTCACACGGACAAAAGATATTCACTACATGAGTAGTGCTATGCAGTGCATGTGCAAAAATATAAATAAAACAGGAAAAGTTTGTTACACAGGTTCATTATACAAAGCTACATGGCATTCATATAGAAACAAACTCACTTTCAGCCCAAGATCTGTACTAACAGAAAATATTAGCCTATAAAAACCTTGCATTCCTTTAAATGGAGAGGGAAAAAAAGAGTAGGTATCACAAAATGCACATCATTTGATGCTAGGTATAACTTAGATTTGAATCACTGCTGGGACTAATAATAAATGGAGATTGAAA